CAACACCACCAGCACTCGTGCCACTCGCTGTCTACTTGGACTCCGTCTCCAACCTCAGAGTCCTCGGACGCGAGGCGCAAGGGAGGCCTCCTCACAGTCTCTGACCAAGGTACGTGATAGTCATTCATTACAGATTACAATGTCCAATACAGGGAAGTGGAGAGGATTGTTCCTAAACCATTGGAATATTCTTAAGAGTGATAAGATTTTGGGCCATCTCCTACCAGATAAAGCTACTGTCCTTTACCGGAAAGCTCCTACATGGAGAGGTAAGGTAGCCATTAGCGAATTAGGCCCTCCTAGGAAGTTGGTGAAGCCCCTCTCTGCCGATCCCTCCACTGGCTCCCATCCCCGGCCCCTCTCTGCCGATCCCTGCACTGGCTCCCACTTGCCCAACGAATAAAATTCAAAATACTGACAACAACATACTACATCTACAACTCCGCCCCCAACCTACATCACTGATCTCATCTCAAAATATCACCCACACCGTCCTCTCCGCTCCTCTCAAGACCTCCTGCTCTCCAGCTCTCTCATTACCTCCTCCCACGCCTGCCTCCGGGACTTCTCCAGAGTGTCCCCCATCCTCTGGAACTCCTTACCCCAATCTGTCCGCCTATCTCCTACGATGCCCACCTTCAGGCGATCCCTAAAAACCCATCTTTTCAGGGAAGCCGATCTGATCTCAACATAACTGTCTTTTACTTCCTCCAATAACTCAATCCGAACGATTATTACCTTTCGTATCACTGGCCCCTCCTACTAGATTGTCAGCTCTCACCAGCAGGGCCCTCCCAACCCTGTTGTTCTGAAACTGTATTGTAACTGTGCTGTCTCCACTATTTTGTAAAGCGCTGAGCAAATTGTCGGCGCTCTATAAATCCCGTATAATAATAATAATAATATGTTATAGGTCCACCGGCGGCCAGTAGCAGAAGCTCCTATTAAACGGTGTCACGCTGCTTCCCCGGCTTCAGGGAACGTTATATCAATGGTAGACGTGTGAGATTCGTTTGGTTACGAATCGAAATTCGTACGAAATTTCCTGATATTCGTAAATTCGGAAGCATCCGAAATCCGAATTGCAACGCTTCCGATTGTATCCGAATTTCGTTGAAACGGGAACTAATATTACCCCTGTGACTGAGGTTGGACAACGTGACAAGATTTTTTTTTTTTCTCCGAAATACGAATTTCGGTTCCGAATTTAGTTGAAAGGTGACCAGATTTTTTATTTGAATCTGAAATACGAAATTCTGTTAACGAATTTTGGGTCCGAATTTCGTGCCTGTAATGCAACCCTCAGCAGCAGAAGAAAACCTCTGATTGGTCAACCAAACAGTCACGTTTCCGTTGTAACGGAAATCGGATCCGAAATTGGTCAACGGAATTTCGGATAAAAAAAAGAAAAAACTACCATCGACTCCAATATTAAAGGAGAACTATGAGGGGGGAGGGGCTTTTCACTCACCTCATAGTTCTAGCCGACCTGTGACAATGAGACTGTCACAGGTCGGCTCGGTAGATCGGGAGGGGAGCGAACACATACCTGCGTTCGCTCACCTCTCGATCCTATCACGTCTCTAGCTGTCACTCACGCAGCTGGGCGGATCCCGTCATCTACGTCGGGATCCGCTCCGGCGTCTCAGTATATAGGGAGCTGTAGCTCGCGGTATCCTGAGCTTAGGGTGAGGGGAGGACGCTAGTTTGTGTCCTCCCGTTACCCTAAGGAGAACTATGGGGACAAAAAAACTTACCTCATAGTTCTCCTTTAACAACGGAATTTTTGCTTTTTAACTTCATCATAACGAATGTTCGTAACGTTACGAAAAGAGTGACGAAACTAACGAACATTCGTACAAATCCGAATTGAGTTTGGGACAAACTCTAATTAATGGAGGAAACTTGTCAGCTCTGTTTAAAGCTTCTTAAGGTGGGCCTGCTGTGTTTTTTTTTTTTATGGAGCTCCTTATTAAACTTCAATTAAGGACTTTCCTTTGCAATAGTCTTTTGTGACAATTTAGTTTTTTCAGCGGGCTATTTTTTTAGGTTTAAACTTTTGTTCTACTTTGTTTTGTCTCTCAGCCCCGAGGAAGGGGGAGGGGGTGGAGCTGAGATCTCCCGCCGAGAGTTGGCTGTGATTGACTTTGTATCAACGTGTATAGTCAACATCATGAAGAAACGCACCAGTGGTGGAAAACGTAGGCTGCGGTTTGTATATTCTCCACAAGATGGGGATCTCGCTTGGAGTGGCGCACAGACCGGAAGTGATGTCATATACAAAACAGGAAGTTCCAGGTGAGCTGGGAGGAAGTAGAGAGAAGACACTGCTGCTTATTGGCAGCAGAGGAGGTATAATGATACACAAAGCTTTTGGTGGGAGTTGCTCTTTGAGGGTAATCCCATAAATGACTTCCAATGAGATTAACGAGAACCTTCAATACATTCGAAGAAGTGGTGTGAGGTGTCGGAATAGTCTGCAGACACATTTCATCCCTGCAGAGGACAGAATATTCTCCACAGAGAAGAGGGTCCTGTATGGATCACATGACCACATCAATGAGGATGGACCAAAGTCACATGACCGAGATGATATTGGATCTTACCTTTAAGATCATCTTCCTGCTGACCGGAGAGGTGAGGAGGATTCTGGGAGGTCACGTGACATCACTCTGATCTGTAATAAGAAAACAAAAATTGAGATTTCTATAATAATTGATATTTTTCTATAAACAGCAATATAAAGTCGTGAAGAATATACACGACGAGTCATCACCACCTATCGGCGGTCTTCAAGAGACCATAAAAGTGCCTGCACCTCACTGCCTCACGTCTGAGAGAAAATACGAGAAGGTTCTGGAAGCCATCAACAGGATCCTTCAGCTGCTGACGGGAGAGGTGAGCGGTGCCGGGGATTCTGGGACATGATCCAGGAACAGACAAGGGGCGTGTCTGGGTGGTGACAGTATCATTGTGTGTGTCAGGTTCCTATAAGGTGTCAGGATGTCTCTGTCTATTTCTCCATGGAGGAGTGGGAGTATCTAGAAGGACACCGGGATCTCTACAAGGACGTGGTGATGGAGAATGCCCCGCCCCTCACATCACCGGGTAAGAGGAGAGAGCAGTACGGAGGCTCCGCCTACATCCCCCATCATCTGATACACACATAGAAACAATGTATTCAGTCAGTGTGTGTGTTTCTTACAGATGGATCCAGTAAGAGGAACCCACCAGAGAGATGTCCCCGCCCTCTGTATTCCCGGGATTCCACCCAGGAAGATCTCACCATCCCCCACCATGATCAGGTAGATGCATGGAACCAAAAAGTAGACTATATGAGAATTATACTTTTCTATGTAGTCTCAGGCTTACAATTTAAAGATGTTTTTGTTTCATACTCTTGGTTTAGGATGAAGAACAGTTGTATATGAAAGTTGAGGTTAAAGCGGAAGAAGAAGTGACACCTAGGATGGTTTATCAGCAGTCTACGGAGGAAGTTGGGATGATGGCCACAATCAAAGAGGAGGAACCTTCTATAGTTATCAGCACAGGTAAGTAATGATTACTGTATACGGAAACTGTTGAGACATATGGAATAATGACTGAGGATATGTAGACCTCCCTCTCATCTGGTAAGATAATCTCCACAAGGGCGTCATGATGGAGAATGAGCCGCCCCTCACATCACCGGGTAAGAGGAGAGAGCAGTACGGAGGGTCCACCTACATCCCCCATCATCTGATACACACATAGAAACAATGTATTCAGTCAGTGTGTGTGTCTCCTACAGATGGATCCAGTAAGAGGAACCCACCAGAGAGATGTCCCCGTCCTCTGTATTCCCGGGATCCCACCCAGGAAGATCTCACCATCCCCCACCAGGATCAGGTAGATGGGACTCAGCATGCAGACCTCAAAGCTATGACATGACTCTTGTTACTTTTTACAATTCATTCACTGTTTTGTTTCAGGGTGAAGAACTAGAAGACATCAAAGTTGTGGTTAAAGAGGAAGAAGTGGAGACGTTGGTGAGTGGAGATCAGCAGTTTATGGAGGAGGGGGAGATGATTGTGAGAAGTACACAGGAGGAATCTTCTCTACATACGGACACAAGTGAGTCATAAACACTAAATACAGAAACAGGTCACATGTTCATTTTACTTCTATGTGTATAAAGTATAAATTTATAGTATTTCATGGTTTCGAAAAAAACCCACAATCAAACACAAAACCTTAACTTGATGTTATTCCAGAGGAAGCCAGAAACCTATATGAAGTTTGGCTCAGTTTGTTTCCAACAACAATAAAAAAGTTCCATCATATTCCCAAAAGACAAATACACATCTCCCCGAAACATTCTAGCATTGTTCTATTCTATATGAAGGTCCATCTCCATTCCCCAATATGATGTCATGTCCCCAACAAATGAGGAGGAGATACTGTACACCATATGAAGGTCCATCTCCATTCCCCAATATAATGTCATGTGACCAACAAATGAGGAGGAGATACTGTACACCATATGAAGGTCCATCTCCATTCCTCAATATAACGTCATGTGACCAACAAATGAGGAGGAGACGCTGTACACCATATGAAGGTCCATCTCCATTCCTCAATATAACGTCATGTGACCAACAAATGAGGAGGAGATACTGTACACCATATGAAGGTCCATCTCCATTCCTCAATATAACGTCATGTGACCAACAAATGAGGAGGAGATACTGTACACCATATGAAGGTCCATCTCCATTCCTCAATATAACGTCATGTGACCAACAAATGAGGAGGAGACACTGTACACCATATGAAGAATACTAACATTTCATTGTACTTGCCTTCCAACAGATGGACGCAGTGCCTGGACCACCCCGGAGGGACCTCTCGCTTTGTGTACACATTCCAATGCTGAAGTCACTGGCATGATACAAAATGATCCGGGAGTTAATCTCATTACACGGAATATGCATCTCTCACCTTTCCACATTCGTAGGACGATGGATCCTTCTAATCCTGAGGAATCTTCTGATCAATCACAGACTATTTTTATAGCTTCTACAGATAGTTCAGCAGATCCATCAAATCCCAAGGACTTTTCTTTGAGTCAGGAAGGAGTTCTCAAAGCGGATAATTCATTCTCATGTACAGTGTGCGGAAAAATATTCACTCAAAAAAAGGCGCTCCGTAAACACCAGAGATTTCACACGGGTGAGCATCCCTATTCGTGTTCAGAGTGCGGGAGATGTTTCGGCGACAGAGAACATCTTCTTATACATCAGAGAATTCACGTGGGTGAGCTTCCTTTTTCGTGTCCGGAGTGCGACAAACGTTTCACCAAAAAACAACACCTTCTTATACACCGGAGAATTCACACGGGCGAGCGCCCTTTTTCCTGTTCAGACTGCGGAAAATGTTTCACCCAGAAAGAATCCCTTCAGAAACACCAGCGAATTCACACGGGTGAGCGTCCTTTTTCATGCTTAGAGTGCGGGAAACGGTTTATTCAAAAAGGACACCTTCTCAAACACCAGAGAATTCACACAGGCGATCGTCCCTTTTCATGTTCAGAGTGCGGGAAATGTTTCATCGAGAGAGGGAAACTTCTTATACACCAAAGAATTCACACGGGTGAGCGTCCGTTTTCATGTTCAGAGTGCGGAAAATCTTTCATCGAGAACAGAAAACTTCTTGCCCACCAGAGAAGTCACATGGGCCGGCATCCGTTTTCCTGTTCAGAGTGCGGGAAGTGTTTCAGTGAGATGACAGAACTTCTTATACACCAGAGAATTCACCTTGGCGAGCTGCCTTATTCCTGTTCAGCGTGTGGGAAAGGTTTTACTGAAAGAGAATCGCTTTTTGAACACCAGAGAGTTCACACTACGGAGGGTCCATTTTCCTGCTCGTGAAAAAAGTCAAATCAGACATCAGAGTGCACACAGATGTTGTTGCGGATTGTGGCATTTGCCTTTCGGAACTTTTTAGTCCAGAGAACTACTGTATGATGGGATCATGAAGACGTTTTAAAGGGATATATGCTGGTGCAAGAGACATTCTAGTTATAGATCGAGTCTGATGCCCGGAGTTAACTGCTGTTTTTTGAACTTCTTAATGGCTGCAGTGGTTTGATCGGCCTGCTACCGTTCCCGACACTCCTCCTGCCCACATTGGGCTGTCCTCATTCCTCTGCTACTCTCCATAACAATCAGCCATTATGTGCTCCTACCTAGCCCTATGCTAAGGTGCAGTTCCACAACAGCTGGAGTGCCCGAGGTTGCCTACCCCTGCTTTAGATAATCGCAAAATTATTTCTCGAAGGTGTGGCTGTGCTGATCGTGATATCCTACCTCTAATAAAGTGCGATTTATACTGTGTGCATTGTGCCACGAATGAATAAAACATTCACTAGGGCCACCTAAAAACAGTTCCTCTATAGTCCAACGGTCAATGATTCTCCTCTATAGTCCTCAGTTTAATGGTTCTTCTCCACAGTCCTCAGTTTAATGGTTCTCCTCCATAGTCCACAGGTCAATGGTTCTCCTC